TTATAATTAACTACAATACATTTTTTCATAAAACCATTAAAATATATTAATTTAATGTATATACACCTCATTAAGGTCTTATATTTAGTGTTATTGATTATTTTTATGATTTATTAAAGTATTTATAGTGTTTCCAAGCGTATCTATGTGTATCTTAGTTTTTCTCCGATACGCATGCGTATCCAAGGTGTATCCCGATACGTCTCTTAAAATTGCCTTTCCGATACACTTGGCGTTTCCGATATTTTGAACCTTGCCCTTAGCATTTTTGGCTTATCCCACTGATCCCTTCTACTTGCAGCCACTAATCCTTTCTTCTTAAAACAGGCCCCACTTAGTCCCTTTTCAACTCGAAGACTCACAGATGCCGGTTCCCCTTCATCTTTCAAACCTAACACATCCAACCTCACTAGACTTTTATTACCTTCATTGCTTCCTTCTTTTTGCCCCTCAAAATGAGCCGCCCTCGATACTCCCCCTTCCTCACCTTCTTTAATGCATATCTCCCCTTCCTTCAATGGGTCATGCTATCACCTTTATTATCATGTGCATAGTATAATTTAAATTTCATGGAAAATGTGCATCATCATCTTAATAAAAATTATGACTGAATTCTTTGTAGGTCCGTGCCACTCCTGGTCATACATTAGGTTGTGTTACCTATGTTACAGGAGATGGGCCTGATCAACCTCATCCAAGGATGGCTTTCACTGGTGATGCCCTACTCGTACGTGGATGTGGGAGAACAGATTTTCAGGTAAATTTCTATTGCCATTTTAAATGATTAAACACAAAGAAAGAATGGTTGAGCATGTAAAAGAGTCATAGTTTTTCGTTTTAGAAGAGGCAATTTATGGACTTTAGATATCATAAGGCATGGAAGTGGCCATCCAGTTAGAATGCAGGATCTGCAACAGAGATATTTAAGTAGCCTTCTCAACAACTCGTGGCCATAGTTGTCAAGGCGACTAGGCGACCATGGGGTGCCCAGGCGCCTAGGCGATGGAAATTTGGAAAAGGAAGGACTGAGGAGATGATGATGATGATGAGTAGAGAAAGGGATGACTGAGGATCCACCCCCGTTTTTTCGAAAAAAAAGAAAGGGAGGACTGGCGGAGCCCCTGTTTTTTCGACTGAAATTTGGAAAAGAGAAAGGGAGTGCAGACTACAGAAAGGGAGGACTGGTGGACTGTTTTTTCGAAAAAAAAGGAAAAAATGTCTGAAATCTGGAAAAGAAAAAAGAAGAAGAAGAAGAAGAAGAAGAAGAAGAAGAAGAAGAAGAAAAACTTACCTGCCGCTGCTGGAGCTGAGGTGCGATGGAGTTGGGCTGGGGCTTGAGCTTTAAGTGTTCGGTTCTCCTCCCTCTCCAATTGAATGAAGAAATGGAGATTAGATTAGTTGTGTACTTGTCTTAATATTAAAATGATACCATGTAGCAGATTTATTTTAAAGGAATACAACAACCAATAAAATATCAAAACAATAAATTAAAAAAAAAATAGTTTTATATATGTATGTAGGCGCCTGCTTAAGTCTCTAGGCGAGCGCCTAGTATGCAGAGCCTGGGGCGTTTGGGCGAGGTGACCATGAAAAACCGCCAAGTAGTCGCCTAGGCGTCGCCTTGACAACTATGTTCGTGGCTGTAACTTACCAAAGTGTGTGTGTGTGTGTGTGTGTGTGTATATATATATATGTTGATACTTGATAGTCATTTTTCATTTTAAACGTGCAATCTGGAAATTTTGCTTGAAGGATTAGATAATTTTGGTCTGAAAGAAAAATTGTACTAGCTCATGGAAAATATACATAGTACTAAATGGAGAATTGAAATATATAAATGCCTTTCTTTTCTTTTTTCTTTAATTGTTTATCTATTCATTAGATTTTGTATCAGTTTTGTTTCTTCAGCAGACATTTAGTTTGAAATTTTAACATTGCTTTGTAATTGCTCTTTCAGATAGCTATACCATGTAAGCAATATGCTTTATGAGAAGGCCATTTTTCTGTTTTTTTTTTTTTTTTTTTTCCCTTCTACAAACTCATATTTTCAAACCAAAGTGAAAATAATCAATGCCAATATTTTACATGCAGGGTGGAAGTTCAAGTCAGCTCTATGACTCAGTTCATTCACAGGCAAAGATGCAAGCTTGGACCTTGGAGTATTTTATTTTCTTGAGAAGGGGAAAAGAGGAAGAAAAGGAAGTAGAGATAAAATTCCATATTTATACTAACAAAAATTTTCCTATTTTCCTGCAGATATTTACCTTGCCAGGGGATACATTGGTCTACCCTGCACATGATTACAAAGGACACACTGTAGGAAAACATTTAATGTCTCCTCTTCTTTAGATGTTTATGATAAATAGATAGCTGATTACGTTATTCCTATTTATTTTTTTTTTTTAATCTTCAGGTCAGTACTGTGAGAGAGGAAAAGCTATACAATCCTCGTCTAACAAAGGATGAGGTAGTTCTCTGTCTAAAAAGCATCCCTATTTATTGCATGATTCCTTTTATTCAGGAAATGTTGCCAATCATATCCATATGTTATTGAATTGGAAACCATTATTCTCATTTTAGTGGATACATTGCCAGACTTCGTTCAGAGAGTGAACAATATTCTCAAATACGTCCGTTATTCAACCATGGGATCAGTTCCTCAATTGAATATTAATGCATCTAAGAGGAAAGCTCCTTGATGGGTTTTCCTATTTACTTCGAATTATTTGATTTTCTAGTTGCTTGAGTGTGAATGGAATTGTTAATATTCAAAATATTTGGAAATACATCAAAAGAGGAATGAGAAAAATAGATGCCTGGTTGTTAAACTGGATTCTTTATTTTTTATCAATATAAAGAATTAAACAAAGCCACAGTTGAACCGAATTCTGCTTCTAGGATGGTTGGCTGGGAAGCTGTGAAACAATGAGCTTGATGCTAATAGAAATGGGGATCTTATGAACTTACTAGCAAGTGATTTCTTTCTGTTTTTGTTCATAACTTCTTATTTTTCTTCTTTTTTTTTTTCATTTGTTCCCAATTCTTTCCTTGAAATCATTAGTTTACCTTCTAACTGTTTCTATCCTTCATTTCCTTTTTGCAGGATACATTCAAGAACATAATGGAAAGTAAGTATTCAGCTATATTATGAATCCGTGAGATGCACCATTCTAATCCAAGGTTTTAAACATTGATATGATACACCTGCTACTGGGCGCATCATATCAGTTTCCAAGCTGTCCAACAGGTGGCACAGGTGGAAGGAAAAACTTTGGCTGTTTGGATAAAATAGCCTAGGCTGTTTGGGGACTTCCTGCACATGACACGTTACACCACTCAGTATTTGTCTTTAATTAAAAGAATATAGATTGAAATTACTCTTTTACCCCACATCCATGCTAATGTGTCATGCACATCGAGCTTTAAAACATCCCAGGCTGTTTTTTTCCAAACAGCCAAACTTTTCCCCTGGTGGAATAGCCTTGTTTTCATGGCATTCCATGCAATATGTCATGCACATCAAGCTTTAAAATAGCCCAGGTAGTTTATTCCAAACAACCGAAGTTTTCCCTAGGTGGAATAGCCTGGTTTTCATTGTCATTCCACCTGTGCTGCTTGTATTGCTTGACACATACCATGGATGGGCTGATGCATCATCCGATTTGAGTTTTTGAATTTTTAAATCTCTCTATCAAATATGGATTTTGAACGACAGATTTAATGTTTTCTAACAGTTCCATAGTCCTATTTTAAATGTGTATAAAAATTATACATGGCTGCAAGGATTTGAACCTGACCTAAGAGTCCTTGCCGCTTCACCATATTACAAGAAAACATTAAAGACAACAATGCTTTTAAATTTTAACTTTAATACCACCTTTTACTTTTTTGAGAAAAAATAGCTTATTTATCACTAAATTTAGTTTTTTTAATTATTAATGATAAATTAAAAAAGGGAAATAATTAATTAATCCTTAAAATCATTATTTTAAGTGCTAATGAGATTTATTTTGGTTCCCTAAAGTTTACATTGCATACTTGAATACTTCTACCATTTCCCAACATTTCCTAAGTATGTCTTAAATAATTCACATTTCACAAAAACCATTAGAATATATAATTTATGTGAATGTACCTTATTTATAGTAATTTTAGCCATAAATTTAATGTCATTGATGTATATGAAGAACTTTTGTGAGTTCTCCTAATGTCTGTACATCCAGATCATTCCATCATACTCATGTGTATCCAAAGTTTATTGCAAATTTGCAATACATATCCTAAAATTGCTTTGTGATAGAAATCACAAAAATCATACAGTTTTTTGTCTTTTCTTTTTTTTTTTTTGAAGAAGGAAAAATCATACAGATTTGTGATACTGATATTTTGAACCTTGCACTAATCTCTTCCTGCTTTTCTAGATAATAATACAATAAGACAGAATTCAACCTCTTACTTGAGTATACATTACTTGTCATACAGATTTGAACCTTTCATATCCGAAGATGATGGATATTGCGGTACCTGCCAATATGGTTTGTGGGTTACAGGAGCCAATTGGAAAAGCTGCATAGACGTTTGAGCTATCTCTAGCCGATTAAACTCCCATTACTGTATGTAGAAAACAAAGTTGGGTAATTTGTGAAAATGATGAATGAGTCGTGTATTGAGAATAAGCTTTTTTCTTCTTGGTAATAGTATTGACTATTGAGAATGATTGAATGAGTTTAATGTGATGCATATGTAAATATATCTTTAAAATTGTGTGCTGTGTTTGCTCTTGTCTTCTTTTCTTAATAGAGGCTATTCCTTGTCGTGATTGTAAAATCTTAGGCTGACAAGCATGAAAAAGCAGTTTTGGATCTGACTTCTGATAACTGCCATGTTGTGTGGAAATGCTAGGGGTTAGGTCCATAGGCCCATATTCAGTCAACCCTCTTTCCCTAATTAGGGGTGTCAACGGTATTCAAAAATCTGATTTTGAATTCAAGATTCAACATAATCAAATCGAATTGGGATAATATGAATATCATAATCAGTGGAATTCAGATATTCTATTCATACTGTTTAATTAATTGAATCAAATTCAGATATGACCTGATTTGATTCAATAAATATTCAAATTCGACTGATTATTTAATTTTTATATATAATAAATAAAATATTAAAATATTCTATATAATTTATATATAATATAATTTATAAAAGCGAAATATTTATTTTATATATTTATTAATTACCTAAAATGATTAATCAGTTGAAATGAATTGAATATTGGAGTATTTAAATATATTCGAACCTGGACATTGATTTTTGATACCTGTCAGATATTGAACTTTCTAATTGGATTCAAATTTGGATATTACTTGATTTGATTCGAATTTGATCCATTTATATCCCTACCCATAACCCTTCTTCCCAAGAAACAAAACACATATGAACACACTAAGAACATGGCATTCAACTACACAAAAAATATCTTCTGTACTGGTATGTTAAATCATCGAAAATATCTTCTGTACTTCTATGTTAAATCATCGGAAATATCTGCACGAAAGTTTATAAAATGAAGAAAAATGAAGTTTTTTTTTTCCAAATTATAGGGGTTGGTCCTGTCATATTTATATCTTGCAAGGCGTATTTCTCTCAAGTCTCTCAATCATTGATGTTAGATTTCCAGATCAGAGACTGGGATGACCAAGAAGCAAACAATTTGTATTATATTAAGCTTATTCTAAATAGGTTGGATTAATGTTGAGTTCAGATGAGTCAAATAATTGTTTGTTTGTTTTTTTTTTTTTTTTTTTTTTTTTTTTTAAGTAAATTATTTGCCAATTCGCTTCTACTCAGGTGCTTGAGTTGGCCTGATCCTCTTTGTACGACTAGGCTCACTTTATGGGATATAGTTCAGTTCAGTTCATATGGTTTGATCCATGTGTTTGCCCATATATAGGATAAGTAGGGGTGAGTAAAAAATCGAAAAACCGAATTGATCAAAAAAACTGATCAAAATCGAACCAAAAAATTGGTTAATTAAATTGGCCGGTTTGGTTTCGATTCTGCGTTTTTAAAAAACTGAAAGTACTGGTTCGGATTTGATTAACTAATACAAAAACCGATAGTTAACTGAACCGATAGGTATACATATATTTTTATATATTTTATATATATATTTATATATATTATATATTATAAATTAATAAATATGCATTATGTATAAATATATATTTATAATATATTATATTTTACTTATTATTTAAAATATAATATTTTATATATATATTTATAATTTTTATTATATATTTATATATATTTTATAATATATATTATAAAAAATAAAAAACCAAAAAACTAACAAACCGAACCGGTCAACCAGTTAATCGACTGGTTTCAGTTCAATTCTGATTACCGGTTTTCTAAAAACTTGTACTACCTATTCAGTTCAAAAAAATGCCCCACGATTTGGTTACCATGAGCACCCCTAATAAGAAAACAATTTAAAAAGTTATTAGGACTTGGGTCTCCAACTTTCAAACGATTCACTCCATTCCCACGATCTACTCTCTCTCTCTCTCTCTCTCGATGTAAACGAGGGAAGCTCATCAAATGGATGCAAATGGATTGAAGTGCGTTTGGTTCTAGTGCCCAAGTAAATGAATTTGTGGGGACAAGGTTCAAAATATGGGTATCCCAAGTAATACAACCATGGCAATGCCTACTTTTATCAAGCATCAAAATTTATTTTATCACTTGGTCTTTGGTCTTGGGAGTTCACTTAATGGCTCTGGGGTTGTCTTTGGGTTGGGGTTGTTGAATGATATTGCCTTAGGCCTTAAAAACAAGAAAAAGAAAAGAAAAAAAAAAAACTCCTTTTCTTATGACTCAGAATTAAAAAAAAAATTAGCAAGCCAATTTATATAATGTTCTTGACAAATGACAAATTGGTCAACATCCTTGGTTCTACATCTCTATTCTTGATCAGGATTCAGTAGGGAGTCTAGTGTGGATTATTATAATCCACAAAAGAAGTTGGATTTTGGGCCAGTAAGTAATTAATTTTCCAAGTAAAGCTTTTCCTAATAACATAATATAACAAGATTTAAGTGCAAATCTGCCCTAGGATTTGGATCCCAATATAAGGAATTTAGTTGTTGTGAGAGAGGGATATCAGGAATTACCTTAACTTTGTCAATGATATCCTTATGCAGGGTTTTTCCATGTTTTTCCAGGTTTCCATTTGAGTCCTCTCAATGATAATAAAAAAACCCTAGTTTGGGGATCTCTTTCCATCCCCAAGAGTTTCGTTTCTTAGGATAAGCTTTTAAGAAATTTGAGTCCTGGAAGTATTTTCTTCTCATTAGGTCCACACGCACATTGCATATCTCCATTAAGATTTGTCATCCTAGATTCGCTATGGACCTTTTATTCATAATGACCCAGCCCATCCTAAGATAAACACAAATTTAATTCTAGATATAGGAAAATCACAGACAGTCTTGCAACTCTGGTGGCTTAGCTTGGATTTTAGACTAACTCAGATCTGACTCTATAAGAGTTTCTCCCAGGCTGAGGCTTAGCCCATCCTGAGCTGAGATGAAGCCTGGGCTGGGTTGTCCAAACCCAACCCAAGGTAAAACCTAACACAACTCAAGCTTGAATAGACTTGGGTGTGTTAGTAAGGTTTGAGGTTCTTTTGAACTTGGATTTGCTCCCACAGCACTAGGGATGTCAATGGGTTAGGTTAAATGGTAAATTTGACTTGACCCGACCCGATCCTAAGGGTTAGCATATTTGACTTTAGGGTTGGGTTAAGGTTTTGATTCTTCAATTTGAGTTGGGTTCAGGTTTTGGTTGACCTGCCCCCTCAGGCCAAGATACCCTGAATATATACGAAGTATTCTTTTAACTTTGAGTTCTAACTCTATAACCTTAAAGTTTAAGATTTATTTACATATTGGTTTTGGTTTTCTTCTTTACTTAAATGAGAAAAGTGACACTTTAGAATCTATAAGACAATTTCCTAACTTAAATTAATGGATTTTAGACCTTCAAAATATGTTAAAACAATACAATTGAAATGCAGGTCAGGTTGGGTTGGTATCGGGTTAGACCCTAGGTCGGGTTTGAAAATTATGTAATTTTAAGATGGGTCGGGTTATGTTAAGGTTGAGACACTGTAGGATTGAGTTAGGATTGAGGCAAGGCCGTGCTGAACCCGACCCATTAACATCCCTACACAGCACATTGCAGCCGTGCATGGGGAACATCTCCCGTATTTGTGTGTTGTCAATGCACGGGTGCAAAGGGAACACCTCCTGTCCCATGTTCCCAGTCACGGCTACAAAGCTTGGGTGGGGGCTCTATTAGGATTGGTTAGGTTCAGTTAGGATTGGCTTGAACCATGTTCAAATTACGCAAGGGCTGAACCAAACTCCAACCTGAACCACATCAGGCCCAGGGCCCAACCCGAGCGGAAATTTTGGTTAAGTAAGGCCATGTTAGATTCGGCACACCCATGTTAAATTCAGCATTTTCATAGAGTCCATACAAAAAAAAAAAAAATTCACAAACTCTCTAATCTGTCAGAGATATTTCTGAAGCCTGTACAGATATGCCCTGCCTCTTCAAAACAAAAGTTTGGCAAGGATAAAGTTAAGTCATCTTAGAGAACCTATTGGCCTCTGTGTGAATAGAATAGCATCCTCCAATGATCCAAGTTCAACACAAGACTTTGCCCAAGTCTTGGCAACTACACTCCATGATATACTTATATCCTTTCAGTTACGCCTGTTGTTCATGGCTGGGTTTTGGGCTCAGCTTTACACTGTTTCGGGCTTGGGCTTTGGGCCAGGCCCATTCGAATTTTGGCAAAAAACTATGTCAATCCTAGTCCATGAACAAGTCTACTTTCAGTACATTGACATACTATCATTGATGAATTGTCTCAAAGGGGTGAGCAAGAAAAATCGAACTGAACTGAAAAACTGACCAAAACCAAACTGAAAATCTGGTTAACCGAACTGGTTGGTTCGGTACTTTTAAAAAATCAAAGGTACCGATTCGGTTTTGGTTAACCAAACCGACCGGTATACATATATATTATATATATTTTGTGTATACTTATGTATATTATATATATATATTTGTTTATATACATTTTATATTTTCTATATATCATAAATTAATAAATATGTATTATATATAAGTATATATATTTATAATATATAATATATTATTTATTATTTAAAATATAATATTATATATATATATTTCTAGTTTTTTATAATATATTTATATATTATAAATATAAAAAAACTGACAAACCGACAAACCAAACTGATGGTTAACCGAGCCAGTCAATCGGTTAACCGATCGGCTTCGGTTACTGGTTTTCCAGAAACTGATAATATCAGTTCGGTTTCAAAAATAGGCCCAACCGTGAGCACGCTGTGCAAATCCTACTTTAGACTGGTCCAATAATGGACTCTTGGAATCATGGCATGGTGTTATCATCCCCAATGGAAGTATTGGGAAGGTAATCCGTGTTTTCTTCTCTCCATTATGTTGTATGTACATTTTTGATCTTCCACACATCTAGGTCATGTTCAATTCCCATATTTGTTGGATTTGTCACCCAGTACTTAAGGATGCCACAGTTCATTGGTATCCTTCATTCCAGTCCTGATATGACCACACTCTTCAGGTTAATGCCAAATAGAAATTCAGTTTGCCCTTCACTGATTATGGGCCTCAAACTCTGGTCC